CGAATGCTTCGTGTTGTATCTCCGCAGTCATCGGGTGATGACACCTATACAACCCTGAAAATTTTGTCTCGAAGGGCACCTTCTCAGATAAAGCAACTTCTTGTGAAGTGTTGGAATGGCTCGCTTCATCGAGGCTCCCAACCTATTCCTGAAAGTCAGCCGGAGCCAGGTGCTGTTTACTCTAGGTGTTGGACATATACTTCAAATAACCTGTTTCCAAGGAAGTAAAATGCAGGCTACTTCTGTAAAGAAAAGCCGTCCTGGACTCTCTGCAAAATTTATCAGCAAAAATAGGCTGGACCTTTTTAACGATCCCGCTGACTAGTTATGCATATCCTGCTTATTTTCGCGGCTCTGAAACTTTACACACAGCAAGCGTCAAGAAACCCAAAACTACTCAGTAGACTTGAGACTAGGGAGGAGTGACTTTCCACTTACCCACCAAATGTTGGTGAGTCAAAATCATCCTTGCTGATAGTTTCTCGGCCTCGCTAACACGCCAATCTCAGGCGGCATGACCTGAAAACCCTTCAGCAAAACCATTTTAAACGCTGTTGACATTTTGCTGCGAAAGCCATGCCTGTAACTTTATGCACAGTATAATTGTTTTCGCACAAAATTTAACCTTTTTATAACATCATGTGGACACGAACCTGCATGAGATACATTAGATCCTACGCATTGACCTTAAAAGTGGGCTTTAACCTAGAAAGCATTCTACCGCAAAGAGCTACCATCACAAACCTGTAAATCCAGGGATTATGGCTTCGCTGACCTTTCTAAGGGGTCAAAATAGTACCATTCCTACAAGTGTCGTTATTTAGGGAGGCGGCGTTGTGTGGGAACATTCTTCACAATAAAGTCCTATATAGCCTTTACTTGGCTAAGTTGATAAAACGCACTAGATCGAAATTCTCGGAAAGGTGGTGAAGACCATTTCTGATGAATAAGTGTTTCAGCTACTTAAGCATTTTACGCTCGAGTAAGAAAAAATTAAAGTATGTCCTACAGTTTTAAAGATCTCCAAAAACACTGTATACGAGATAAAACACTGCAACGAAATTACTAGTTACTTAAATGAAAATACTTGCTTATCGCATTTACACTGCCAAAAATAGTAGTTCAAAGGATAGTCTTCTCAAAGTTTTAAGAAAATTCATGTCATCCTACCTTACGGCGGTTGATGGTGTAGCGGTAAAAATCACGAAGTGCATGGAAAAAAATTTGCCTGAGTCATTTTCGATCCGTGATCTGCTATCATGAGATCAAATAGAAAACAAATCAAAATTAACCCATGTGAAACAGTATCAGGTTTTGAATAAAAGATTAAGGGAATGGCTCTTAACATTTAGGTTCCTGTTCAGCTGATAGTGGAAATCCTTTGAGGTTAATTATTACTGCGTAATATTGCGAACCATAGGGAGGGTGGATATGGGTGACAAGTATTTGAGGCGCCAACGTCACATTACATTTAAGACCTCGACAAGCCACGCTTTGAGCTTTCTTGGATTATTGATTGCGTGGATAGTGAAAGGAATACTGCTATCAATTGTGCTTTCCCCTACATTATCCGGGGCCGCGTAAGGTGCGGACAAATCGCATGGCAACTGAAAGACTGGCAGATCCGGATGTCAGACAAACTTACAAGAATCGTCTTTTAGAGTCTCATACTGGGACGAGATTGCCACTTCTTTGCATAGTGCTGGGAATTTTGCCTGTGGTACGACCCGACCAGGCGCACTCAGGCACTGGATATCAGACCGAACGGTGGCATTACTTAAATCTCGAAGAAATATCCCAGCCGGTCCC